GAGTACTTCGTTTAAATCAGAATGGTCCAAACATCTCATGATCCGAAATGAATTCGATTGTACTAGTGCTAAAATGAGTGGAATGGATAAAATAGTGGAATATATGAGAATGTCTGTATGTATTATTATTTGTCTAGAGTTGCTATTTATGCCTTGTTCTATTGAAAATATCGAATACAATGGATCAAAAAATAAAATCCTTTCCCCTTTGGAAAACTCTCTGTAAATTCTACTAGCCAAGATACTTGCGCTTTTTATTCGGGCTTGTTTCACTTTTCACCCAATTTTTTTCATCTCCGATACCAGCTAACGTAAGAATCATTGAATTGGGAACTGATTTAGATTAGCGAATTTGCTTTTATCCTGGGAGATCGGGGCTTGACTCTGTTCCCAACGTAAACACTTCGACGCGGTTTAATAACGGCTACTTGCGTCATCGCCCTATTTTCCAAATATTTATGATATCGACGGAGCCGGTGGGTGCACACGTGCGTGCATTTTCCTATCTATAAAACGTTTCGATCGAAAGCATCGATGAGAAAGTCGTAAAATTTGATGCTCGCTTGCTTCGAGACGTTGCTCGAATATTAGATAAGTTCTTTCTTATTTTTCTGCTTTTTGTCCTTGGAAAATGAACAATAGTTGCAGAGCTAGTAAATACACTGTTTTAGAGTTTGTATATACCGAATAGAGTAACAATCGACGTGCCTTTCGAATTAATTAAGCAGGGAAACTGCATTAGGAGACAAACCAACCAACATACACTTAAGGTTGGAATTTTGACGAAGAATATTAACAAGGATTAAGAAATATATTATTATTGGCATTGAACAGCATTGATTCATTTTTTACAGATCCTCGAAATGAGAGAAATTGTACGTTTGTATAGAACTTCCTTTTTTCTTTTTCTACCGAGGAAGTAAAATCTCCGCAATTACGTATAAATATTTTCGTAATCACTTAACGGTGCTCATTACAACGATTGACGAACGTCGCTATTGGACTATTAATTATCCGCGTTAATTACCGTTACATATGCGGGTAAATCCAAGTCTCGTTCGATGAACTTTATACGTGTCATCGAGCGTTATTACACGTTACGTTGCCATAAAAGCTTTTGCATTTAACGAAGCTTAATTTTTCAAACTCGTTTGGGTGTAAAAATAGAGCGAAGAGTCTGCTCCGACGACTGAAACGCTTTAGGACACTCTAAATGCACAATTATCAGACACGCGTACTACCTGCATCCATTCGATATTATCAAACATGTAGCATCGAAACTAATTCGTGCATTCCGCTCTCAGATGATGCCACCAATCTTTTATAAGCTATACATGGTCCACGAACTAGAATTTAATTAATTAATTTGAATTACGCTTTTTTAGTTATTTTATGACGATCGAATTCAAGAATATGATAAGGAGGCGACAATGGAAAAATTACGCGATTAATCTGGCAGATTAATTAACTTTTATCGCATCGATATACTTGTATATACAGTATACATTGGAATTTAAAGTAATAATGTTATTGCGACTAGGTAAATCTCGTACAAAGATGAGCAAAATTCCTATCTAAATAAGACTGTCGAACAACGAATAAAAGCTAAACAACCGTTTATCCATAATTCATTAAATAAAAACTCTGAATTATGAAATTAATTATTTCGCAAAAGATAACTGAAACTTTAACCGTTTATTGCGAATAATAATGTTCGCGTTGGTTTTATTCACGATCTATTATTCGAATAAACTGTTGCCCATCTCTGCTCTCGATTTTATTGGAATGATGTAGTTTTATTAGGAAACTGTTTCTCGAAATGAATTAGATAAGCACAATATGTTACATCTCTTAGTTTTTTCTGATAAGCCAGATAATGGCTATTTAATAGTGATAATAGAAAGTATTAGAATGTCGATAATATGTCTTACCATGACGTAAGAGATACTTGTTTATCGTGATCAAACGCTCGCGCTAACATTTGCTATTACTAAAAATGATTATTATTGTATAGGGTTTGAGCATTTATTAACGTTGAGTCTTATTTTATTTCGATTAACAATTCAAATATTGCTACCGTTGATTTTACATTTCAGCGTAATTTTTTATTTTATAAATAACCGATGAAGCCTCTCATTGAAGCTAAAAATGTTAACTTTAATAGCTGCTCAAGGGCTGTTCAATTTGAGTCATTTTTATCTATCAACCAGCATTTTGTTAATGTTTATTTGTTATTGGCCACTGATTAAAGCTAAGAGATGGAAAAGGAACATTGCGCATCTTATTCATTAGATGTCTCGAGACAAAGTATCTAAGATAGGTTTGGTACTTCAATTAATGAATCACAGAAATGAGCAGTTCGACCGTTTGCTTGTTTGCATTCCTTTTGCAAGTATTTTTAGTTGTTAATGACTGTATACATATGCTTTTCTATACTCCATTACATATGTGATTTAACTTTCTTCCTTTCTGTTACATATTCATTGGAGTCGACTGGACGCCGCCCTATAGCTCGGATACCTCGGGATTGCTAAATCCGTACTGTAGCTACAATTAAATGTAGCCACAGCCCCTGAGGGCTCTACATTAACACGTTATGTATAACACCATATATGGCTGACAGTGATTTTCACTGAAAAACGAAAATTATTAATTCTGAAAGTTACATGTCATAGAAAATGAATTTAAATGAAATACTTGAATTTTGATGAAGTTACAGAACTAAATACAAAAATAAATGTTTCATTAGGCAGTTTCCAATAGTCTGTAAACAAAATTTAAACACGGTAGAAATATTCAAGAGTTTTAGTGTGGCAGTGAACGTGTTGAAGATAGTATTTACAAATTGGCTTTCTGTTAGTTAAATTCAACTTATATTTTATTTTGAGGCTCATTGCTGTTGTTCCACTTACAGTTTTATTTAAATGCATTATTACCCATGAACCAAAGGGAGAATTAAACCAAAATTTAAACTTCTTTTGGCACTTCTTTTTTTAAGAAAAAATGCATCAGCACAAGCCACTATAAACCTTTCCTTTGCTATTTTGGAGCACTGTGACTTTGTATTCATTTTATTTAATTGTTCATTTTATTTGAAAATAGCGAAAATATATACAATCTTTTCCATGGGATATAATTGCTTCTCATCACAAACCAAAAATATACATATAGGTGAAAATATTTCACATATAAAAATGTCTTCAGATAGATAGTGCCAAATACTGAAATTAATCCAATTAAACGGATCAAAAATGGCACGCGAATGAATGAGCAAGACTGAATTCCATTAATTACTACTCTATGAATACTGAAACAGAAGTTTCGTAATTCTGCAATGGAACTCGTTAAAAATATTACAGCTTGAGATTGTCGATGTAATAACTAAGGAGTGACAGTTTGTCAATTAAATTATTTACTGTTTAACGTTCAAGTTTTGAGAAATCTTCGGAAATTAATAAAAAGTAACTGCTTTAGAACAAAACAATGAAATTCCAAATTAAATCGAAAATTGGAAACGAAGAACAATAACATCAAGCTAACAAGGATAATTGAAAAAAAGAAAGAAAAATAAAGCGAAAGAAAGTTATAAGTAAACAATACGAATGATATCACTATCTTAACATATAAACAAAGTAAAACAAGAAAAAGGAAACAGAGATTAGATGTAGATAATTTCTTCAAAATGATTCGAAAGTTTATATACTCCGAATAAAACTAATGGAATTACTTATTTACGACTAGAACAACTATTTTGTCAATTAAAAAATGATGCGCCATGACGTGAAAATTATGTTGGACAGTTACAAAGAAGAGAGAATTTTTCTGCGAGAGAAAACAAAGTTCTCGTGTTTCGTTAAAAAGTAATTACGATACAATTATAATCCTCAGTTTTAAACAAATATTACTCTGTATTAAAAGATCTTTTCACGATAAAAGAAAAGTTTAAAGTGTGCGCTGCTCACGTTTATACTCTAAAGATGATTCGATAACGATATCACCTGCATTACTTGAGTTAGCCCCTTCCCCTGAGTCTTAAAATATAAATAAAATAAAATTATAATACTCTATGAAGCTCATCCTGCACAAATGTATGCAATTTTTTCACGAAAAAGAAATATAAACATATTGTGAATTATCGTTGCAGTATTTCGTAATAATATACGTATATTATAGTACGTGTGTTATACACCATAAAATTGTGGACTTGAGCATACAGTAGGTGTAGAATGTATCCGTACATCGATCAATTTCCCAAAAAACTTTTCTGTGAAATTGTAATTTATTAACTCCTTTTTTTATAATCAATTATATTCTACATACTTTCGGAAATTTCTAGAATATAGTTCTAACAACAATTACTAGTTTATATAATTTGCGAAATTAACGATAAAATACGAAAAATCGGTAGAAATATAGAAGCAATAAGTATTCGCACGGTTCTTACGATGAACAATTTACAGTAGAATTTGTAACATAAGCACATCAGTTTATTGCTTCGTAGAAATTAGAAAACATTAAATTTCCAGTAAAAAAGACTTAAAAAATGCTCTAATAAAGGAATGAAAGAAAATCCTACCCCGAATAACATCGACATTTATGATAGTTAATTTAATGCCTAGAAGAGTTGCAGTAATTATAAAATCAAAAGGAAATTCCACGAAGTATTAATTATTTATAAATTAATGTAAATTTCGTTTTTTTTTTTTAAACGAAGTTTAAGAACACTTGTACAAGTACTTATTGCTTCTGTATTTCTATCGATTTATTGTTTTTTCTTGTTAATTTCCCAACATGCATAAATAGCTATTTTTTTGTTGTAATCTACCTATTCTAGAGATTTCCGAGAATATGTAGAATGTCATTGTTTGTAAAAAAAAGAAAGTTAATAAATTACAATTTCACATAGTTTTCTTGGAAATTGATCAATGTACAAATACTTTCTACACCCACTGTATGTTACCGTCATACCTAAAAGTGTTAAATACGAGGCGAAATCTTACCTTGAGACAATGCGTTGCACTGTATACAAGTTTTCTGGAAGCAATTTGCGTAACAATCGATCCCAGTGTCCGCCACAACAAATTTCGGTTTCCAGCTGCTTTCGCGGCGACTATGGGAATTACCACAATATTCGAGTAAGCGTTCGTTAATTCGTTATACACTCACTGAGAAATTATCCGCCACTGAACACGGTGTACTCCTAATAAACAGGTAACGCCGGCACAGTGTTTTCTTCTGAGATCGAAATTTAAGTACGAACTGCCCAGTCGCTCGAAAAAGGCGTCGTGAAAACTAATCGTACGACATACGTTTTCCTCGTTTCTTCGACAACGATCGAGCGACGAGATATTTCGATTTCACAGCTTTAAGTGCTTTGTACTGGTTCCGTTGAGGTTAGGTTTTTTCCCATTAAGTACGAAAATCATGCAAGCCGTTAAACATCGTCGTGTACCGGTCTCTACGATTCGCTGACGCAGATTTTTCTCGCCAAGATGCATACGCTTCCTGCAGGTTTCTCTTATTTGGCGCATCAAGCAATAGTAAACAACCGTGCGCTCGATACTCGAAAATTCAATGAAAATATTACAGCTGGTTGGCTATAATCAAACTCCATTACAAGCCCGTTACCGACGATTAAAAAGATATCCGATGTATCAAAACTTGCATAGTTAAAAAGAAAACGTATTCAAAGTCAGCCTCGGTGTACATATATATGTTGTATATATCAGTCGGTAACGCAATCGTGACAGAAAACTACACAACGATGGGCTCACAAATTACTCCTTTTTTCCGAAACGCTTCGATCGTACCGACCAGCTTGTTTTTTTTTCCCCCGAATATTCACGGTGCACCAAAGAACGCGCACAAATACGTTGAATTTGACCTCTTGCAATGGCGAAAGTGATCTTCGTGTTTCCGTTTCTTCGCGTCAATGGACATTTATCGGTCGTTCACGAGATCAGAATGCACTCGCGCGTGACATTCGTGGACAAATCTTCGGAGCAATTAAACACGACACCGTATCTCTTTCGTTCCGATGTGTCGTTGTCGGTGCCGGGGCTAAAAGAATGACACTTAACCTAAGCGCGTCGTGAAATTGCCAGGCGCACCACCGTCGTGTTTAGGGTATCGTCGTTTCTAACCTTGAAAACGTTGAGTTTCGACGAACGTCGTGGTTAAATTTTAGAAAAACGTTAAGTACACAGGATGAAGCGACAAACATCGAACGATTTCCGATTGTCGTGGAGAGCCGCACTCGCTGATGAAGCTTCTCTCGCGAACAATTACTTTTTTCTTCCTATTCTTGCGAATACACGTCGATATATCACTTCTTCACACAGGACGGATAAATAAACCACGAAGTAAGGATTTTTGCGTTGAATGGGCCGTGGCTATGGTGCCGCGTTATAGGCCGTAAAACGGCCGGCACGCAGAAAACCGGTGGCAGTCTCGAGAAGCGCACACCCCCGATCGCGCATCCTTCCTGGAGCCCTGGCGAGAGCCAACTGCCCCGCGCGCTTGTACGCCGACATTCAAGGCGATCCCACAAACGACCAGCTGATCGAAGTAACGGCCTGGATATCCGACTCACGCACCGGCTTGTTTGGCTCGCGACCGCGGCGCATCGAGCGAGTTCCTTTACACCGGATCGGATACGTCCTCGAACGTCAGGCACAACCGAAAAACCGGCCCGTGGCACTCGGGAATTAAACGGAATAAACGAGTAAACCGGAAAAGAGAAACGGCGATCATGCGCCCCCCTGCCGTGTCACTGTAATTGCCACCTCGTATTGGCAAATTTGAGCTTTCCTCGACAGAGGGCACCACCGTCCACAATCTTCGCACTGCTTCGTGAACCGCCCCTGTGGCCTAATGGATAAGGCATCGGTCTCCTATGGTCTCCTAAACCGGGATTGTGGGTTCGAGTCCCACCAGGGGTATAAAACAGGTATCATTTTTTTGTTGGAGGAGCCATTTGGTGCGAAGACGAGGATTTCAGCGATAGTTTTAAACTCCCAGACTTTTCTTTCATTTTCACGGCCGAGGCAGTGGCAATACTGGAAGCAATAGAAATAATACAACAAAGTGGACGTAACCAATGGAGAATCTTTTCGGATGCTCTCGGTGTACGAGGTGTGGCAATTAAATAACGAGACTGGTGTGAGAAATGTGATTTATTGCAAATAAAGTTACATTTAACTTTTATCCCCTTCAACATACTCTCCTCCCCTATCTATACACCGCTGCATACGTGTCTTCCATTGTTCAAAACAATGCTGTAACTCATCAGTTGTTAGCCTCTTCAACAACCCTGCCGTTTTTATTTTTACATCTTCAACAGACTGAAAATGTGTTCCCTTCGATGCACTTTTGACTTTTGGGAACAGGTAGAAGTCACACGGTGCGAGATCTGGCGAAGACGGAGGATGATCAAGCACAGGAATGTGCTCGTCTGCTAAAAACTGCTTTACAGATAGGGCATTGTGGGCTGGTGCATTGTCCTGGTGCAAAATCCATGAGTCATTCTTCCACAAATCCGGTATTTTCTTCCTTACTCTTTTCCCCAGCTTGATTAGGACTTCTTTGTAGTATTTTTAATTAACGGTTTGACCTTCAGGCACCCAGTCAGTCAGTCTGTTGAAGATGTACTTTATTTGCAATAAATCACATTTCTCACACCAGTCTCGTTATTTAATTGCCACACCTCGTATTAACAACCTTGAAAAAACAAAGTTAATTTTGCAAAAAAATCAACTATAGTCCAAAGAATTAAGGAAAAATTATATTTAAACTCAAAAGAAGGAAAGATCATTCAGTTAATTTGGATCCCAGCCCATAAGGGAATTACAGGCAATGAAAAGGCAGACGTGGCAGTAAAAATAGCTGCAACATCAGGACGCACAATTGATATGGGAATACTGTTATCCGATTTGTGCCCAGTTGCAAAAGGAAAATTTAATAAAATAAATAATACTCAATTAATGAGAGAATCAGAAATAAAAGGGAAACGATACTTAGAAAACTTTTATAAAGACAATAGTAAACCTTAGTTTCATAAAAAACGTTTATCAAGGAAAACAGTAGTTTTAATAAACAGAATAAGAGCCAATCACACCCGTTTGAAGAGTAACCTATTTAAAATAGGCATCGTTTCAAACCCGACATGTGATTGTGGACAAGAACCGGAAGAACTTAACCATGTTCTATGGAGGTGCAACAAATTTAAGAACGAAAGGAAAATCATGAGGGAGAGTTTAGAAAAATTGGGAGTTAAAGGAGCCCCGTCAATCGAAGACCTATTGAAAAATATAGACTCTCGGATAGTCAAAATAATTACAAAATTCTTTTTTGACTATGATATAGTTCTATAACATAAGCACTAGGGATTTATATAGCTCAAGTAATGAGCCAGTATTTTTATAGAGTTCCTAAGAAAGACTGACTAACATGCAATCACAAAACTACAGATTAAGTATTGAAATCAGAGTGCGCAACTTAGAGTGCAAATGTATAACTAGAATATAGGACGTATAGTGAAATATTTTTTATATAAATTTATCGATAGTAATAGTAAGTAAGAGAGTTATATCCAAAATAAGGAATCTGCAATATTTCAAATGGACGTTAGTTGTAGATATATACGATAAGGATGACTAGCAATAAGGAAACAAGGCTGTATACATTTTAGTTGTAAGCTAATAAACGTATTAACCAACCAACCACTACTTCGTGTGAGCGTTTTTTTTTTACTTTCCCAAATGCTGTAACAGAGGACAAAGTTATCGATCAAAATTTGAGCCTTCCTTGGTTTGTTTTATTATATTTTACGATGTTTCAAGGAGGTTCAAGTTAAATGCATGTTCTGTAATGCATAGACATTTATATCGCAAGTGTCGGCCTCTGTTTTGCTTTATATCTCGGGAATGTTTTATCAGAAAATCATGACAATTTTCGTGAACATTCGTTGATTTCAATAAATTTTTATTTTTTTCGTAAGGAGTGACATATTCTGTTTTGTAACATAGAATTTACGTTGCAAGTCGAAGTAGGTTGTCACAAATCTGTTTTGTTCTAAATCCTAAGAACGTTCAGGTTTAGGGGGGACCAACGTCGCTTTCATCTTTTAAAAACCAAACCTTTAACAAAGTTGTTACATATTTAATTTATCTATGTAATTTGTAATAAATAATCTAATTAACCTCTCAGGGTAATTAAAATATAAATAAGAATCTTCTTATTTTTATTTTTATTTTTAAATACAAATTTTACAATTGAATTTTCTTAATACTTGGATAAAATTGTTGATCTATCTAAATCTATTCTTGTGTTAAATTCATGCCATTTTCCCAGTCGTTAAATGTTTTTAATTCTATTAATTAATTCAACAAAAATAATCTGCTACATAATAGTAATTACTTTTTATTCCTACTACTTTAATAATCATAAAATCAAAGTAATGATTAAAGTGGTTACTGTGTTTTATGAATGCTGTGTTTTGTATATTATGGTTATAAGATATTGATTTTTTTTCAAACGAAAAATCACCTTTACATTGAGTTTATTACCATTTTTCTTAGGTTTCATATAAAACAAATTGTATTCAAGTTGTATTTATATCATTTTTTGAAATTTTATTTTTCTGTATTCTTTGGATTACCATTAGTTAACTATTGTAGATCTGTGAGTGCAAGGTACTACACTTTTTCATAAAAAATACAATTATTATCTACTTTAGTGATTTAGTAGATACAAATTAGCATTTGCTAAATGAATAAATGTAACATCCTACGCATGCGTATTGAAAACACATTTAATGTACAAGCCACGTTCTTACATATAGTTTCCGTAATCATATATGCCACTGTTCCTACCATACTACTAGGTGGTATAGTAAATTTGTCGTAATTCAAATTTCTAACAATAAAAGCTTACAATTACCCTACACATCTGACTCGATATATTTTCTTGTGCACTGATTTTAATATAATTTATATCTTTAACTAAACTGTTTCATCGAAAAAATATGCATTGATAATTTCATTATTCATTAAAATTATATGAATATTTACATCGTGAAAAATATAAATTTGTAGAAAAATAAAATCGTTGTATGTATCAATTATCGAAATTAGATATTTGTAATTGTTTCTTTTTTCTAACAAATAAATACTAGTTGTAATAGCACTAACAATTTATTTATGTGATTTATAAAGAATTAAACATAAGGTGATTAAAAACATAGATTAGAAACATAAGACTTCTCTTATTCGATTTAATCTAACGATATCTCATAAAATAATGAAAATAATCAATCATATATGATTGATAGTATACTAACTTCGATATTACGTATTTTTTGTCTCAACAAATCCTCCCGCTAATGTGTAGAACGATCATAATTCTTATTATTAAACCAAATTCGGCAAAAAACTTTTATTGTTGACACGAAATAATCAAATTGCCCATTATATGAAAATTTAAATGTATATATGTAGAAAAACGTTTGAACATATGGTACACAAATCAACGTAAAATTTACATTAAACGATCTGATTATTCGTCTTACTTTTATTTCAACGACTAGGAACCAGAAAGTATCATTTTATTTAAGCTAAATTCCAATAAAGTATGTACTTTAATATACTCAGATTTTTCAAGTTCAATGTGATTTGAAATGTCATGATGATTGGGAAATGTCTTGTGATTAGGAAATGTCATCGGTGTTACTTCAGATAAAAATGCGTAGTTGCTCTTGAGTAACGTACGTATGTTCGAACGTGAAGCAATACAAATTTAACATGCATAACGTGTGATTCATTCATTTGTTTAAACAAATAAGAATAAACAATTTTATTCGTATTTTATAACTACTATTATTGTACATATAAAAACGGTTCAAAAAGAAACAAAATTCTGCTTCATAAAAAAACATTTTTTTACAAAGTATTTATTTTTTACTATTTTAAATGTTAAATGTTAAAATTTAGTAGATATTATAAAATGTATAGAGAGTAATTATACATGATGATACTTATTTGTTGTAGAATCAACAAATCAAAAGAAACTTTATCATAAATAAAATGTGTGGAATTTGGGCTCTCTTTGGATTGGACGGACAACCTTTAACCTGCATCTGTAAAAGCTTTCAAAAAATTGAACATCGTGGTCCAGAAGCCTTTCGACTTGAATATGATGATAAAATCAAAGTATGATACTATTACAAAATCCTAAGAACTTTAATAAATTAAATATTTTTAGTAATATAATAACTATATGGTATAAGTAATACAACAGAATAAAAATCAATTTTCACTATCTTCATTTACAGAATGGTTATTTTGGATTTCATAGACTGGCCATTGTTGATAATCTCCATGGAATGCAGCCAATGAGACTTTATAAATATCCACATTATTTTTTATTATGCAATGGTGAAATTTACAATCACAAAGAAGTAATACTTATTTTACAAATTATTATTTTATTATTATTGATAATTGTTTTCTTATTATGCCATAACTTCAACTTTATATAGATCGGCCAGCAGTATGGATTTCAATACAGTACTGAGTGTGATGTTGAAGTGCTAATACACTTATATGAAAATGGTGGTGCCCAAAATGTAGCTAAACAACTTGATGGTGTTTTTGCATTTTGTTTAATGGATATTAAGAATAGGAGAATTCTTATTGGTAGGGATCCTTATGGAGTTAGACCTCTTTTCCGATTAAAGTCTGATGATGGACAGCTTGGAGTTTGTTCAGAGAGTAAGGTAATCAAAAATTATTTATTTTAGTATAAAACAATTATTAACTATATTATACTACATATTTAGGGTCTTATAGAAATAACAAAACAAATAGCATCAAAATGGACATTGGAGCCATTTAAACCAGGTCATTATGAAGAATATGAAATCTTAGATGATGGAAGAACAAAATTGCTAATGAAAGTAAATTATTACAAACCTGGAGATAAACCCAACTTTCAAGTTTATACTCCTTGGAATGGTTTGTTGAAGAATATTAATCAAAAACTTAAGTGGATAAGACAATATAATGTAATGTATATATATATATATGTTTCTTTTAGCTTTAAACAGCACAGATATACTTGGAAACATAAGAACATTACTTTCAGCAGCTGTGAAAAAGAGATTAATGGCAGATAGAAGAATAGGATGTCTATTGTCAGGTGGTCTAGATTCAAGTTTAGTTGCAGCTTTACTTGCAAAACATGCAAAAGAGGCAAAATTACCATACAAAATACAAAGTTTTGCTATTGGAATGGGTGATAGTCCAGATATTCTTGCAGCTAGACAGGTTGGAAACAATAATTTTTTATTATATTGTACCAAATATTATACCAGTATCTAAAAATATTATATTTATTAGGTTGCAGATTATGTAGGCACAGAGCATCATGAAATCATTTTTTCAGAAGAAGATGTAGCAAAAGTGTTAGACAAACTCATTTATCAGTTAGAAACGTTTGACATCACCACAGTCCGAGCGTCCATTGGGTAAATTGCAATTTATGTGGAAGGTATTCTTCAACATTTTGATGAAAAATTTTCTTAAATTTCAGTATGTATCTCATTTCAAGATACATTAAATGTAACACAGAAACAACTGTAATATTCAGTGGAGAAGGTGCAGATGAACTGGCACAAGGATATATTTATTTCAGAGATGCGCCTAATGCAGTAGAAGCTCATGATGAATCTATTCGATTATTAAAAGATATCTATTTATATGATGGTTTGAGAGCAGATAGGACAACTAGTGCATTCAGTTTAGAACTACGAGTTCCATTCTTAGATATTCAATTCACAAATTACTATCTATCACTAGATCCTGCTTCCAGACAGCCTCAAGGTAAACTTTGAGAGAATACTTTAAAAAGGTAATATAAACAAATTAAAATACAAATTAAATATGTTTGATACAGGAGGCATTGAAAAGTATTTATTAAGATCTGCATTTAATGATACCAATCTGTTACCATCAAACATACTTTGGAGGCACAAGGAAGCATTCAGTGATGGAGTAACATCAGTTAAAAAATCTCTTTTCCAAATCATACATGAAATTGTGGATAATCATGTATCAGATGAAGACTTAAAGAATGCTCACCTTAAATATCCGCATTGTACTCCAAAAACCAAAGAGGCACTTTATTACAGGTAAAAATCATTGTGTATGGGGAAGCTTTGAAAATATTTAATTTACAAAATTCAATAAAATTATTGCTTGAAAATTAAACATACCATATTTTGACTTCAGGAACATCTTTAAAAAGCATTACGGAGGACAATCAGAAACTTTTACACCATACTTTTGGATGCCACGTTGGGTAAAGGGAATTCGTGATCCATCTGCAAGATTTATTACTCATTATGCAGCAGATGTGAAAAAATGATGATAAAGAAACTAAGAAGGATTGAATTTACAGTGATTTATATAATAAATTGAATATATTTAAATGTTTACCATACAAACAAAATCTCTGTATATTTTTATAAAATAAATTATATATCAAAATGTTTAATTATCCATGTCTATGTCTTGCTTATGTAAATACAATTTTATTTTATATATTTGATATTACACTATTAATACCAAAAATTAATGCTACAGAAGTTAAAGTTTAAATATTACATCTGAAACATACGAAGCGAGAAAGTAGAGACATTTTATGTATAAAAAAAATGATACCTGTTTTATACCCCTGGTGGGACTCGAACCCACAATCCCCGGTTTAGGAGACCGATGCCTTATCCATTAGGCCACAGGGGCGGTTGGTAAAATCAGATTCTAACTCGAAGTAGATGTACAAAATTTTGAACCTACAATAAAATTTTATTAGTAAAATAATATATATACGAAAACCATTTTTATAATGTTTTTGATTACTTATTAAATGGATAATTTCTTTAAGTACCGTGTAATAACTGGAAATCGATAAAACAGCTGTTACCAAATGATCCAAGATGGTGACGCATATTTTATAGTTCGTCATATGCAAATTGTTTGCTATGTACATACGTCAGAAATGTCAGAATGGTGAGAGTGTGCTTTAGTAGAATAATTACAATTTGAATTTCGACTAATAATCAATTATGTATACAGTAAGTACATCGTTTCTTGATTGTAACGTTGAAGGTAACGTTAATAGTACATAAATACAAATAGTACGACTTTTATCTATAAACTTTGTTTGATATTTTCGGCAAATTACAGATGATGTCAACGAGATATCTTTCTTTTATATCTGGGATAGTAATTGCTTCAATAACCTGGGCTTTTAGTTTATATATGTACTCAAAGCTATCTCAAAATGCTGATATTATCAATCCAACAATGTTAATGTCAGAGAGTTCAAAATTAATGAAAGAATCGACATTTGATCATAAAATACATAATGATCGTCAACTTAGACTACATCACAATATGATTTTTTATGATAATAAAGAAAGTATGAATGATAAAAATGTCAATAACTTAAAGGAATCTAACTTCAAAAACAGTAACAAACTATTACAACAATTACAACCCGTACCAGTGAAACCTTCTATCACCATAGGACAAGGTAGGTATTTAGATGATATTTAAAATGTCAAGCAAAATAAATTTTCTTTATCATCTTCAAATAACTTATTTATAGATTTAGATGAGTTAGGAATGGTTAAAAATTTGGATGATCAACGAAAACGAGAAGAAGGATTCAAAAATTATTCTTTTAATATTTTGGTATCAGATAACATTGGTTTGCATAGAGAATTACCAGATACAAGACACAAGTTATGCAACAAGCAACAATATTCTAGCAAATTACCAAATGCTAGTATTGTTATATGTTTTTACAATGAACATTATATGACACTTCTAAGATCTCTACATTCTATTATTGAAAAGACTCCAGCTCAATTTTTACATGAAATTATCTTAGTAAATGATTGGAGTGATATGACAGCTTTACATGAACAAATTGATACGTACATTAAAAATAAATTTGATGGTAAAGTAAAGCTTTTCAAGACTGAAAGGAGAGAAGGATTAATCAGAGCAAGAATGTTTGGTGCAAGAAAAGCAAGTGGAGAAGTTTTAATTTTCTTGGATAGCCACATAGAAGTAAATAAAATGTGGATAGAGCCCCTTCTTTCGCGAATTGCTCATTCAAAGACTATTGTTGCTATGCCAGTTATTGACATTATCAATCCAGACACATTCCAATATACTAGTAGTCCTTTGGTAAGAGGTGGATTCAACTGGGGTTTGCACTTCAAATGGGATAATTTACCAATTGGCACATTGAAACATGATGAAGATTTTATAAAACCTATCAAGTGAGATCATATATTTACATATTGTTCGTATTAAAAAAGAATGATTGATGTATGTGACAGTTTGTTTAAATTAGTTGCAATGATTGCATGAACCAAACAAGTGTAAGGTGAGAGAAGTGAGTGTGTTCAAATGAGAAGGTGTGAATGAAGAGTTTTTGAAAGACGATCTGAAATTCTACAAGCCATTATAACAAACTTCATTTTTCACAATATGCATATTTATTTTACTACTGTTTTATATTGTATATATTGGTAATTACTAAATAGATCACCAACAATGGCTGGAGGATTGTTTGCAATGGATAGAGAATACTTTACAACACTAGGAGAATATGATGCAGGCATGGAAATCTGGGGTGGTGAAAATCTGGAAATATCATTTAGAGTATGACAGCAGTTTACTTAATTATTCTTTTTTTTTATTCCATGAACAATTTTTAATATTTTTTAGATTTGGATGTGTGGTGGAAGCATTGAACTGATACCATGTTCAAGAGTTGGACATGTATTTAGAAGGCGTAGACCATATGGTGGAGATGATAAACACGACACTATGCTGAGAAACTCACTGCGTGTGGCATATGTTTGGTTAGACGAGTATAAAGATTACTTCTTAAAGAATGTTCAAAAAGTTAACTATGGTGATGTCACAGATAGATTAAGATTACGGGAGAAATTGAAATGCAAAAACTTTGAATGGTACTTAAAGGAAGTATATCCCGAATTAACATTACCAGATGATGATAAGAACAAATTGAAAGATAAATGGGCAAGGGTAGAACAGAGACAAATTCAACCTTGGCATTCAAGAAAAAGAAATTACACAGATGAATATCAAATTAGACTCTCAAATACAGCATTATGTGTTCAGAGTGAAAAAGACATCAAAACAAAGGGTTCTAAACTTATTTTATCATCATGCTTGAGAATTAAATCACAGGTAATAAAAAACAAGTAACCATTCTTAATCCTTTGCACTTCACTGGCCCTGTTACCCCAATGTAAAGGTTTCAAAATAATCTTTTGCTTAAACTTGTTACAATTGGCAATATGTAGCATTAAATTTGTTGCAATCTGTATAGATGTGGTACGAAACAGATAAAAAGGAATTAGTACTTGGTCAAATGCTTTGCATGGAAGGAGCAGAAAAAATACCTAAACTCGGAAAATGTCACGAAATGGGCGGTGGCCAAGAATGGCTTCATAAAAGTACTGTGAGTACCTATTGTTTTGTTCGTGCAAATTATATGTATTAAGTGTAACTTATTTGTGTACAGATTGGTACACTCTTATACAACAAGGGAGCTGGTACATGTTTAGGAGGATTACAAGCAATAAAAGGTGCTGCAGTTGTAATGGATCTATGTACTAAACCAAATAAAACCCTCATTACATGGGACCTGATACATTCCAAAATTCCTCTAAAAGAGATTAGGTAACACAGGAAAATGAGATGTAGAGACAGAAGAAATAGACATATAAATTTGGTTGGTAGAAAAAGACAAAATGCATGCAGGAATTAAATGCTTAACATTGTTAAAAAACTCTTGTGATACAAGGCAGCAGTATATTGCAAAAGTATTTGATTCTAAGTGTTACCTTTATACTATTTTATATTTTAAAAATAATATGAACTATAACGTTATAAGTGAAATTCCAATTAGAATTTTATTGCGTAAACAAATTCGTCTAATTTTTTTTATGTTAGTTTATATATTATTTCGTTATTCGTTATAATTAATAATATACTTGAATAATAAATTTTGTTGTATATTTAAAGAATGAAAGAGTTGAGAACTGTTAAGTTAATCTGTAAACATTCATTTCTCATGCATTGCAGTATTTACTACAATTAAAATTTTTTTCTAAGAATACAGTATAAATAATAATGTACAAAATATATTTAGTTATATATGTGTTTATATTTGTATATATATACAAATTCTTTGTACCCATCTTTTTGTAAAATAAATTAAATGCTTCATAGATATCTTTTCATTATTTGTTAATATAATTATACATTGTATTTAATGATTTATGTAAAACATAAATTATACGGAATAAATTTTTCGTTACTCTAATACTTTGAAGACGTATTTTTGTTATTTCATTTTGCAAAAAATGTATTTGCAAATCAACATGGCAGTCAGTAGAGGGATTGTAATTGAGAAGTTTGAATATGTACAGATATGTGAAAATATTGTAGATCTTTTATATAAAGTCCTATGGGAGACAAATAAAAACAATAATGTAATTAAGTTAAAAATACCACGGTATAAATTAAAACAAAATTTTGAATCGTTATTCATAAAATACAATTGAATCAATAACATAGGTTATTCGATCTAAACTGTAATTAAAAAATGACAACATCAAAAGAATTAAATTTAGCTAGAAAAAGTCTCGTTGCATCGCTTGGAGAAAACGCAAAAGTGTAAGACGTATTTTAAATTTAAGAAATAAATAAAAATTATATTGAAAGCTTAAGACATAAGTATAGGTTACTTTTTAATTACTCAGAATTCAATGCAAGCTTAACAAGTCAATTTTAAACAGTATAGTCTTTTTATTTTTCTTTGTTTAAAATGTTACCATTTTATTTGAAAGATCTTTGTTTATTTACTACAAAATCATTTTCTTCAGAAAAATTATTATATTGATAAGCTGTTCTTGTTGACAGGTATTTTGAAAAGATGAAGCTCTGGTTTCAGATGAAAGTATGTAATATTATTGTGAAATTTTATGCGACCGTTAACGTTATTATTTACGAAATATTATTTTAGACAACCAAAGAAGAATTTGATTGCGAGGCAAGGAATATTATGACAGAAGACCAAGTTCATCTTCATAATGAATTTCTTTTGTGTTTGTTTAACAAGGTCAGGGGTTTAGCTGCTGCTACACCAACTCGTAAAGTAGATAGAGACAAAGCCATAAAAGAGAAAAGACTGCGATTAAAGCGTAAATACAAAACAGACAAATCAAATTTTGAGGTTTGTATAACAATTAATATCAAGAAACTAACTTTTAATGTTCCATAAACAAAATAAAAGTTCTTGTACTTGATATTTAGCCAGCAGATATGTATGTTGAAGTATTAAGCCAAACATCATCACCTGTTGGAGATGAACCTATTGGAGCAAATCGTTCTAGCGCACAAGAGCTTGTGTTGCCAGACAGAACTTTTGTTTTAGCCAGATTGATGCTTGCAGCATGGGAAAATAATATGGATGGTGCAGAAGAGAATACAGCACATATAGTTATAGCTGCTACTCAGATTTTTTTGAAAAATATACTAACAGCAATATTTACAAGGAGAAAGGGATACACAGTAAGAGATAACTCTTTCATTTGCAATATTGGAGAACCAGTACCTAGTTCATGGAAACGGAATTCCACTTATATATTACGATCATCAGACCGTACTGCAACAGAAATAATAGATCCTTATGGTCAAGTACCTTGCATAAAACCAAATTTTGAAGAGGCAGAACAAGCTACAGCATTTGCCTATGCATGCTCTCCTCAGACTATTCCACCTCCACTGAAACCAGTTAATGCAGCTGATTTACAGCATACACTAAAGGTAGGAAAAAAGATAACTTACTAATAAGGGACATCCACAAAGTATCTCTAAAATTGAGAAAGGAGATACTGTGCAGATGTTGTTTGTATGTAACATCTACATAAAGACTTTGAATGATGAATAAAACATAATAAAAAGTTGTTTCACCTCTAATGACAAAAATTTATCTCAATGGCTGTTTTGAAAAATTTACCTAAACAAATTTTTGTATTCATCATTTATTATTAAAATAAAATTCTGCCTATCTCTGATACACTTAAATGATGTTTCATACTTTATACTTTGTCTTCTATTTCAAACAGATGTACAAAAATCTTGTTAGCAATCATACCATTTATGCCACTAATATGGAGCGTTTATTTACATATGCTACACATCCAACATGGGAAGATTTTGAAGCTAAAAAACTAGTATGTCAACAGACTATAACATAAGTACCAATGATTGTAAATAAACTATTTCTTAAGATGAATCATTTAAATATTAAGTATTAGAATGGATGTTAAAAAGTTGCATGTATTATTTATGATGTTTTTTACGAAATATACTTTGGTAATAAAATTTAAAAAACTGAAGTCATATTACTATATCCTACTAAAGTTCTTTTAATAGCTTTAAAAATCAAAATTTTTCACTTAAAGAGGTACCTTTATTTATAATAGTTTACAGTAAAGTGTGATTAAGATTTACTAGGAAGAGTATTATGCTCTGCTTTCGTATAAAAGTTCAATATTTGTGAATAAGAGAACTATTCTAACATATTTTACAAGAATTTTTCAATTTGTTATTTTTAATTATCTGCGCTTTCATAAATTATAAAACGAATAATTAGCCTTGGAAATGATATGAAAAATATTTTGTTCCATATTTATACATTGCTTATTTACATTCTTATTTGAAATTTACCAGCTTTGGTAATATATTTAACACCTTTAAAGGGTTTATATTTTTCTCCATACATATCTAATCGGTTAACTTTCAAGCCAGACACTGCCAATTGATTAATTGTAAAGTGAACCTAGAACATGAACATGATATAGTAATTTTTTAATTTAATGTTATATATCACAATTATTATTAACCATACATACGTTAATTGCAGGATTAGACTCCAATACACTAGCAGAATTTTGGATAGTAATCTAGAAAAATAATTTTATATATTTAATTACTAGATATGTGCTTAAAGGTTGTAAATTTTGACATTATAACTATTATACCGAGCCTCTTAAATTTGGAAGTTTAGAAACATCTATCCTTCCAATATCCCATAACAGTATTTTACTAACAGGGTCAAATGAGTATTTTCCTTGAGTTGGAGTCAAAGTACAGTTCAGTACTATTTTGGGCATAGGAATTTCTAATGTGACATTCTCCACCTAAAATATACATAGTGTCATACCAATACATTATGTTTTAAATTGTAAAATATATAAAACTTAAAAAAGAAATACATACAGTCCTGCCAATAGTTTGTTTTGGTCCCACAGTAATATCTAATCTACCACCTCCTGGTTCTTTAAGACTAATATTATGTCTTACATATATGGGAATAGCTACAATACTTTGTGATCCTATGTGATAAGAAAGAAGACGAAAATTGCCATCTGGTGGAATAAAAGATAATATTCGTTCTGACTGTAAAAAAGACATATACATGTATTAGTTATATAAATGATGAATTTAATTGAACCATTATTTACTCATACCTCCCATCGTTTAAATCTAACACAAGGGTGAAAACTGACGTCATCAAATAATCTGGGATTCATAAACGAAAGTGTTAAGTCTGGCATTCCACTTAATTTTATACAGCAGTCAATCTAAAATTTCAATAATATTTTAAAGACATTATTTTTATCAATGCATCAAAATAAAAATCAAGTATATTTTACAAGCAACCCACATATCCTTGAATTTCTGCAAACACAGTTGCTCCTGTTCTATCAATAATGGCATCTACTTCTTCTACAACATCAAAATATGCTTCATTGTTTGTGTATTTTACACCGGTACGTCTCCAAGGAACATTTGATAGTTGACCACTTGGTAATATTGCACTAACACTGTGGTACAAAAATGTAATTAATTTTAGATAAGGATATATAAAATGCCATCTTTTGTTATCAATAGATAATTAAAATATTTACTTAGACTTTCCTGTAACAGTATTTGCAATAGTTCTTAATATATTGGGTGGTTTAATAAGTTCTTTCAAAATATTAGATTCTGTAGCTAATGGGAAGCCATTGTCTAACATTTCATCCAATAGTTCATATACAACCACGTAATTTTCTTTTATAATAGTTTCTGTACATTCGCTAAAATAATCTTCGAATGTGTCCACTACTCTATGTAAGAATTCTATTACAAATAATGGTGGAACTACAACATAAAAATGTTATTCATATACGTATCAATCACATCAACTTGCTATTTAATATTTAGAATATATTTTTACCTTCTGTCATACATACTGCAACGAAAAACATATTACACCGATATATACTAATAAGATAATGATGGGGTGTTGCTATTACAGGAGGTGTATCTTCAGGAGATAAAACTCTTCGCTGTTGATCAAAAAAATAGTCACAGAGCGATCTTGCAACAGCACTTTTCCAATGTTTTTCCATAAATACATCTCTAAATATAAATTTCAGTATTTTTATTTCATGAAATTGTAAAGATATTTCAGTAGCAAAACTGCTTTTATGAAACGTATGTTATGATAAATAGACATTATATGTTTCTAACCAAGTACTTGTCAAATATCACATCTGTTTTCGATTTTAGAATGTAATGCTTACCCTGAGGAGTTGATAATGAATAGACTGTGAATCATTTTTTAAAACAGAGTGTCTGACACAAAACACTATTCAGAATTATATGTCAATTTAATTTTGTTTCGATACTTTAGATTCACTTGACACATACCCATGCGTATATCAAATATACTACTACTGATTACTATACTCTATACTAGTCTATACTACCTACACCGATGGAGAAGAGCTACATTCCTACGAGAGGAAGCTGATAATAGACAAGTAAACTGAAATCGGCCAATTCCGTGAGGAATTTACGTAAAGGTTATTTTTGATTGGGTGATGTTTAACCAATAAACGTGAAGTTTTAAAAGAAATTTATATTCTAAGTTTTTATGTTACCAGTTTATACAATGTTGAATGTAACTACAAAAAGAATATGTATTATTCGGATTTCATGTTTAAAAAAAAAAGAAAAAATATTTTGTTGTTATTTTAAGATATTTCAATAACTTTTATTTACACTACGATCTTTGCACCCAAATAATACTCAGTAATTCATTCTCTTCGCAGATTTTAAATTCAATATAAATATGCAATTAAATTTCACAGAATGAATTGAAATGAACTAAAACGTTGAACGTGTTGCCCTCATAGAAATTATGATTGGTCTATAAACATATGTATAAGCCAAATCCATTGACAATAAATAAGTATTAGTCGCGATTGTTAAAAGTCAATATTTGATATAGAAATAATACGTTAACAAGAAACATTGCAGCGATTAGCTCATATTATTTGGTATGCAATCGACAAAGTTATCAATAGACTGTGGATGTCTATGGAAATTAATATTTTCACAGATATAGATGATAATTTGAAATTTCAAGAAGTACGTCTTATATTCTGAACAATGTAACATGTACTTTATTGTTGGTATTTTGTATATTTTTGGATTCGTGTATATCCCCATACATTTTCCCAATTTTCTACTTGCTGTAAATGCATAAACATCCGCAGTCTAGTCATTAGGGTCCTTTTGACGACACAATTAACAATTACATACTCAAGTAATATAGAGTGTCCAGGTCTCACCACGTGGAGGTTGCTGCATACAGAAACCCTTTTTTTTTTTTCAACGTGGGGGAAATTTTCATACCACCGTTTTTTGCGAAAAACGGGAATATGTGTGATTGATACTCACTAAAACCCCCACGGTGGCATCCTCTGGCGTAAACAAGGGCGAACCGGGGCACCCTTCGCCAACATTCTAATCATGGCAGCGAAACTAGCCACATCGTTTCGCCACCATCGAACTGCTCCGGCGATAATTGTTGGCCACAGCCTGCAGACAACAACTACCGCAGGCCGGTTGTGCAGCTCTGTGCCAACAGAATTGGCCATATACGATGAAGATCAGGCCGTACTACATTTCAATCACCTGGCTTTGATGTGGAATTGTAGACAACATGACCAGTAGTAGAAAAAAACAGACCAAGTCAACAAAGCAACCATAAATTCAGAAGACATCGAGAGCTCTGTGGCAACAGAATTGGGCATATGAAGTAAAGATTAGGACGTGCTACATCCCAATCGCCTGGCTTTGATGTGGAATTGTAGACAACATGACTAGTAGTAGAAGAAAACAGACCAACTCAACAAAGCAACCATAAATTCGGAAGACATCGAAATTCAAAAGAAGATAATACAAATTTTCTGCCTTGTAAACGTACTTGGACAATTTTCATTACTGCAGTAATGAACCACATTCCTTCAAAACTAACCGCCTAAAACGAAAATGAACACCTTGTAATGAATATATTTTTGGTCATGACCAATTTGTATAAGTAACTTTGAAGAGTATTTATCCTCCACATAAATAACACATATAAACAAATGAAAACTGTAAAAACAAATACATACATGTAAAGATAAAAAAGGAAGAAAGTATGGAATATCAGATTACGAGTAGAAATAGAGGAAGACCATAGGTAAGAACTATGGAAAACCGGATTATAGGAAGGAATGCAAGAAGACCTATGGAATACAGAACTATAGATGGAAACGAGAGACTTTCAAATGCTCTCAGTTCCTTGTCTTCATTAATCCCACGATGATACCTGAAACATAAAGTAAGAAATATTAATCATAATTTATGAGACGTTAAGTCTGTCCAATTACTCCAATAATCGTGAGCATGCAGGGAGATAAGGCACTAAATGCCTCAACTTATAGTATGCCATCTGTAACAGAAGAAACATAGTACTGTTCATTAATGATACATTAAAAAAAAATCCGTGATTGAACCATTTTTGGGTTACTTACCCTAACTAAAACCGTGAAAGTGAATTTTAATTGATCGCGATTTATAAGACGCAACACTAATAGCAAACGCGATTAATGTTTATAGGCAACACTACTCTGAAAGAAAACGCGAAAAATACTACTTGAAAATATGTAAATTATTTCAAATCGGACGCAATTTATCAGTCGCAACAGTAAAAGCAATTGCGATCAATGTTTATGCGCAGCACTACTCTGAAAGAAAACGCGAGAAATACTAATCAAAAGCAATCGGGAGGTGTATAATTTTTCGAAATATTAATCTATTAAGTATAAAATGAAAAAAATCGCGTACACCAAGTAATACGGAACCCTAACTAAAAATCTAGTGCAGCCATCTCAGGCTGCGGAGAATCGTAATTCGCAGCTAGTTTGGCTGCTTGGTGATTCTCAGGCAAGTCAGTGTCAAATTTTGGGCTTTTTATATGTCGAAATACTAATAAAAAACGCGAGAATTTACTTTTAAAATCAGACGCGATAAATATTTATTATACGCAACACTAATAGCAATCGCGGTTGGAATATTCATTCGTAACACTACCCTGAAAGAAACCGCGAAAAATACTAATCAAAAGCTACATTGGCTCTAAATACTGTGTCAAAACGAACACGATAAATCATACGCAACACTAATAGCACTCGCGGTCGATTTTTTATTCGCAACACTACCCTGAAAGAAAATGCGAAAAATTCTAATCAATCAAAACAACTCTAAATACGAACGCGTTTCATATTTCCATTTCGCAACACTAATGAAAATCGCGATTGCCCAATTGACACTGGATGATGAGCTTCCACATTGGGGTATATGACCCATCTAAACAAACTACAACTACTACAACTACAGGCGAGTACAGTGACAAAAAAAGTAATAGTAATGACTCCCCATCTTCGAATCCGAAGATGGAGACCCATTCGTTGCAGCCCTTTCTTGTGACAATTTGTCAGGGCCTCTCTTCTTTCTTCGGACGCATTGTCCCATCTAAAACTTATAGCTAGGGTCGAGGTTCAGTGCAATACGTGGACGTTCAACCCGGTGAACCACACGTCTAGAACCTCGAGGGAACGAGCGTTTCGAACTACCCTACTGATCACGACCGCGACCGCGAAGCAACAACTCAAAGAGTCGAGACCCAAGGAATCGAGAGCAGATTCGAAAACAAACGGAAAGAAGCTCCGTTTGCATCGTCATTGCAACGATTCCTCGAATCCACCTACAGTAACAGATCCGTCAACCGTTGCGCGACCTACTCAAACTAACGTGACGAGATCTGCCCTGGACCCTACCTACCGGGATTTAACATACACACCACAAGTTAAGTTACCTACCTACCTAACCCTATATTTAAAAATGCCAAAACAATCACACCAACACACACGCTCAACGATTCTCAATCAAGGCTCTCGGGCGCGACCTAAACTAGGGAGATGTCCCGGGACACCTCCGACACCCGAGGATACCATACAAAACATTCACACTCTAAAGGTACGTACCAGTTCCTGAAATCGACTGACAGAGGCTAGCGACCATTGCGTATATGTAATATGTATATATCAATATTTAAATGTAATATTATGTAATATAATAATAATATTTATATGCAATGCTTTAGACTGATGCAATTATTGATAACTCTATATAGGTTCATCAGCAATTTACTATTTTTATTTTGTATATAAGACTGAGAAGCTACTTTTGTTTATATTCTTGTATATGCAATGTATATGTATATATAGTAATGGAAATAATTGTCAAGGAATTCAATAAAAATTTAAAGAATGGTTAATACTAAGCAATTGATGTTTCATTGCAAAGAATAATAATAGAAATCGAAAGTTATGAACGTATCATTTGTATGTTGTAAGAAATTATTGAATCGACGCAATTCCACATCCTAACCACACACACACACACACACACACACATGTGGAAGTACGTCGTGCACGAGACGTTAGCGCAGAGTCAGTCGCCACATATATTATTATTATTATTAAAGACTATATCATCGTGCCCATTGCCTTCGCTCATCCAAGTAGCAACTGGGCACGTGAATGAGCTTAGACAACGTACACGCAAGCGTTAAACCTGAAAATCCTCACGAAAAAGAATAATTAGTAAATCTAAGCGATCTAGTATCGTATCCTTTTGCGTTATTTTATTTTCAGTAAAAAATGACTCGACTTTTAATTTATACAAATTTTACAGCGAAAACTGGGCATGAATTAAGATTGAAAAATTGAATTACCAAGAATAATTACTGTAATCAAAATTGAATTATTTAAAAGATTATAAAAAAGATTGCAATTATAGAATTTATTCTGAAAATTTAAGATGAATATTGATTTACTTTCAGGTGATTCAAATGTCAAAGTAGATTTTTAAGGAACGTACAAAAGTGTTCAAATCGTGTTACTTTGACTTAGAAATCAACCCATCGCGAAGCATTCTTCTTGTACATAAACGAAAAATTTTAATGCAAGAAATGTATACTTAAAATATAAAAATTATATTTGAATTTATACTTCAAATATATAGAAAAAATCTACTATATCCTTACAACTGTTTATTTGATAAATATCTATATGAATATTCTCTCAACCATGAGTATAAAGAAATAATTGTGATATAAAGGAATATTAATTTATCATGTCATTAATAGAAAACGCGAGTACAAGAAGAGCCTAGCCTAAATTAATAAATAAAACAAGAAATCCTACTACTCACGAGTATGCTATGCAATGCATACCCGCGGTCACTATACTCGCCAAAGACAACGTATACAACCAGTCACCCGTGTCGATTCGAACCTTTCGTCCTACGACATGATTAGGGACCGGAGGAACCAAAAAGCATAAGACTCACCAACCGTTGTCTTCATACAGGACATCGGCGTAGCTCACCAACATTCGGTAGACATCGGAGTAACTCAGCAATATTCGATGGACATCGGAGTAGCTCAGCAACATTCGATCAACATCAGAGAAGCTCTGCAACATTCGATGTTCGGAGTACCTCTGCGAATGTCGGAGTGCTGCTGATTGACGATGTACAAAACCTGCAACATGTTACATGAATTACTAATACGTTTTCAAATTTACAGCAGTAATAATTTTAATTCGTTAAAAACGAAAATAGACTTTCATTTTAGATAAGTAATGCATTAGATTGTTTTAAATCTTAAAATTTGGAATAGTAGAATAATATACAAATACATGTATAAAAGAGATATTGAACTAAAAAATTATAAATGTTATAATATATATTATAACATATAACATGATACATAATTGTTATTCGAATAAGGCAAATTCATAAATTTTATGTTTTTAAAATAAAGCTATTTATATGTTGAAAAAACTTTGAACTCTAATTTTTTATATTTGTTAAAAATTTATAATAAATTAGAAGAAAATGTAGATTTATAAATGTTCAGTTTCTATAAAATGTAGTTAAAAAAAAAGTAAACATGGATGAATTCATTAAATTTATCAAATGGAAATCAAATTTACAAAAATTTTGACAATTTGCAATATTATAAATTTTTTATTTGTATAACAAAGCAATTTAAATGTTGAAAAAATTGTTAACTTTAATTTTTTATGGTTGTTAAAAATGTATAATAAATTACAAGGTGTAGATTGATAAATATTCAAAGTTTCTATAAACTATAGTAAAAAGAAGTAAAAATGGATTAATTCATAAAATTCATCAATTTTATAATAAATATAGGAAATAATAGTTTAAATTTTCAAAATTATAAATTTTTTACTTGTATATCAAAGCGATCTAAATGTGGGAAAAATTTGTAACTTCAATTTTTTATGTTTGTCACAAATTTATAATAAATTATAAAAATGTGAAGCTTAATAAATGTTCAAAGTGTCTAGAAAATATAGCAAAATAAAGTAAAAATGCAATCTCGGAAACTCTGATGTAAAAGCGCAAATATTCGAAGCTTTGAATGTGAAAGAGCAAATATTCGAAGCTTCTAGTAGTTCCGCCATTTTGTGTTACAATTTGTTCGAAATTATTAGTTCGAAATATTACAGAAATGAAAAGGAATTATTATCAATTTAGTCTACTATTATTTCATCTGTGCAAATCTAGTGATTAAAGACAATATTACCTGTTCTCCTGCTTCCTCTGACAAGCTGTGCAATTTTTTAGCCGTTCCATGTTTGAACAAATTGTAGTTGAAATAGAGAATATTTAACAGTCATGGCGTCAGCGTCGGTTGACCAGATTCATAACGTAGAATCTTTAACATACAAGAATTCCAATTTGAAGCAAAATTGCAATAAATATGTGTTTGTGCAATAGCTAAGCAACAAATTAATGTTAACAAAGTAGCAGAATTCGATAAAATAACTCAGAAAGACATACTGCCACAGTACAAGTTGATATACGAACGTATATCAATTGGTACATGGTGGAGAACGGAACGATCGAAAGTGCGAAATCAATCTTTTTCTAACAAAACCGATTCAGTTAAGGAACAACAGTATTAATATATTAGAATACTGATAAGCAGTGACACAGGGCTGAAATAAGAACAATCAGATGTCGATTAATTAATTATGCTTACCTATTAATTTGCGGATCAACCCTCGGATCGACACGTCTGCTCAATTCAATTGCTAGGGCAAGAAGGACGCCTTCTTCTCGCGTTCGCGCCACCAGTTAGTGGGTGGTGGGTGCTCGACCAATGAGATTTGAATATCTAAATGTAACGCTAAACATGATTGGCTGTCATTTCTTAATAGAATTTCTGATCCTTCTGAATTGAAATTAAAGCTAAGAAATGAAAAATAAGGACGAAAATTACAAATCAAAATTTAATTTACTCTTAAATTATTATTACTATGCATAATATTCCATTCCTTTCTATTCTTTTCGTATTCGATTTGACTTTAGCCTCGATGTATGACATGACGACAAAGAATCATTCGATATGAATCGATACCTTGATTTTCGATCGTGTAACATGGAAATATATTTTCATTTACGAAAAATATCTTGCATATTTTAAAAAGTAATTTTTATTATCCTTGTCTGCGTTTATGCACGTAATTTCAAAGATGCTTCTTTTCATTCGTTGATCTAACAGCGAGGGACAACTTTGTTTATGTTCACTAACCTTACTGATTTCGATAGATATTTACAATCGATTTCCAATCACTAATCCTTTTGATGTAGTTACACATAAAACTGACACATCATTTATTAGGACAACTTTATCGGCTTTTTCCTACCCTTTATCAAGTACAATATAAATCACTTGTTTCGTAGGATATCGATGACTTAACCCTTTAGCGTGAACACTATTGCGTTATAAAAAGTGACATCTCTACTTTAAGAAAGTAGTTGCGGTTATCAAGAGGACAAAGGACATGATCATTTTAAATGAAGAAAGAAGTCAGATTACTATAGCATCGTGGGAAACATCATTTTTACTGATATTTCAAGAAACTAGCAGCGATTATCAAGAGGTTTGTGCAGATCTATACATTAAATAAATCAGTAGTTTTCATCGTTAAATAACCTAAGAATAACCTAATTGATTATATCGTAATATTCAACGTCAAGAAGGATCAATCGTAACAGACTACATATATGGATCATGATAGCATCCCAGCGAAACAATGAAGACGTCGGACACAGTAATTAAAGAATCACGACCGTTACTATTTTACAAATATAAAAATATATTTATCATGTGGGTTCAGGTAGGTTAATATAAAGCGATCGAAAAATTTGTGTAATACGAATATCCTAATTTTGGAATAGTACGACTAATGCTACTTTTTTGCAGTTATTACATTTATTAATTTCCAAGTTCGATGCTTCGATTGAATATGTTTACCAGCGTTACTCTTCTCAGATATAGAGTGCGCTTTACCACAATTCGCCTTTGTAGACAGTCGGTAAATGAAGCATACGATCGGTAAAAATTACAACTAAATGTATGTCGAGAAATAAATTGTTTATTTTGGAAATAATCAAAATTTCAGTCAATCTGAATCGATTTGTACACAGGAAACAAAATGCAAAGAACAATATTTCTATAGATTATTAGTATACAATATATATGTAATAGCTTCCAAAGCTGATAGAATGAATCAAACATAAAATATTGTAAAATATTTCATCTAAATTGTAATATATATATAGAAATGAAATAAATAGATATGTAGGCTATATATTTATATATCTTCGGAATAATTGAACTTCGAGGATAGAATATCTTGAAATTGTATAATACATGCTATTTATCTATGTTGTGTGAAGCTTTCCAGTTTTTTTTCCTGAATTCCCAAAGTTCTCCAAAATATCAGACTCATATACAAGAAGCTTGTGCATTGGTGTATACCATGGACTTAAAAATATTCTTGATTTTATAGAATATTCATAATACAAAACCTATAATCACTTATACCCCCACATGTAATCGAGCACATATACGCATATATACATATACATGTTCAGATACAATTACGATGTTCTCGGTGAAATTCTTCTTTAATGTAAATAAAAGTAATTTAACGCATATTTGTCACTGTAAAATATAACAAATAACACTAATAACAATACATATTACATTGTATAAAAGTGAGCGAGTTATTTGTTAATCATAAAATTTTGTGACGTGTCATTGGTTATCTTTCGTTTTGATATAGTATTTTTAATACTATTAACTCAACGATGGATGAAATTACGAGCTGGGAAGGAATAGAGAATGACGGTAATCTATTTAGCATTATTTTTTAAACTATCTAAATTTTATATAACATAAATTAAATTAAAGGTTACTGAGTGTGTAACAATAAGGACCATTACTGAATTTTATAGTAACTAAAATTGTAATTATTTTGCTTTGGTTTATATATTAACGGTATACAATTATACAATATACATTTATATTTTGCAGAATTCTTCAAACAATTTTTTGGTGGTGAATGCAAAAAGGCTGATATTAGCCAAATATTATCAGTGGCACAACAGATAAACAAATTAGGACAAGGTACATAAATAAATTATTATATATCTTATGTATAATGTTTGTATGCTATATTATGTATTATGTTTACTTTAGCTATTGAAGTATTAAATGCAGAGCTGCAAAAACAGGTATTGGCCAATCATAAAGATTTATTATCCCAAGCAACATGGGTTGAAAAATTAGAAGGTGTACTATCAATAATGCAATCTCATGTTCAGGTATGTACAAAATTTGTGGTTATTAATATTGGTAATGTATTGATCTTTACAGTTATAAAGTAAATTCTCATATTTCAGAGTCTTTTGTCAGCTACTGAACATTTGCGTGGAAAAATTGTTGATCCATTCAACAGAATTGAGACACAAACTATTGTTTTAGCACGTCTACATGAAACTTCTGATATGTTACGAAGAGTAGCCAGAATGCAACATTTATTAAAACGTTTATATTCTCAAATGACAAATAATGTACAAGGTCCTGATATCATAAAAGCTGCTAATAGTCTACATGAACTTGGTATGTTAACTTATCATTTAATTCAAGCTACCCTTTACAATATTGCAAGGCATAATGTAAATAATATTATTTTATAGAACAGTTAATGATGGATACAGATTTGAATGGTTTAGATGTCATTGCAGATGATCAACAAGCTGTTAAAACTCATAGGGCAACAGTACAAAGAATAGCAACTCATACTTTGTCTCAAGGTTTACAAATGATGGATAGGACGAAAGTATATAATTAAAAATTAATTTTTAAAATAGTACACATTTCAAACTTTAATAATAATATTATACTGAACAGGTTAGTACAGCAGTTCAAGTATTTCAAAATTTAGGAATTGTAAAAGGGGCTGTAGATAATGTTATGGATTCTGCTTTATCCGAAATTGAAAAAATTGCTACGGAATCCTTAGATGTGACTTTAGCAACAAATCAAGATGTAGGAAGAAGAGGAGCACCTGGGCGGGCAACTATTCCTTCACCGGGTTCTTCTGGAAATTTACGTACACGAATTTGGGAAAATCTTGAAAGACTTTTTCAAGACACTCTCTATACACAATGTTTACAAGTAATCGAAAAGTTTTGGTGTAAAATCTTTCTTCAAAAACTTGTATTTTTATGTGTTTATTACGTTCGTCATTTCAGATTGAATTACTGCAAAGAATACTATTAGAACATCACACAAAAGGATTGGATGATTTGTCACAACAATTTTGGGACAAAGTAAATGATCTACTTTCTAAAGTATTAGTTGAACGTGCTCAAGGCAAATATTAATATTAATATTTTGTGCACTACCCCTTCTGTTTAACAATTTAAAAATTATTATTTTGCATTTCCAGGATCATCATTTATAAAACAAGCATTGGAGGGTGAATACCCCAAGTTTCTAAGAATATTTTTAGATTTAAGTAAGCGATTAAAAGAAAGATCGCAAAGCATTGGCATTTATAATATTAAGTAAGCATAAAGATATTCAGTTACAATCATTTTATTTTATGTCATACAATAAACCACTTATTGCTCTTTTTAGTCATAACGTATTGTCACCATTTGAAAATGCGTACTTATCACGTTCCGTATCACGCTTATTGGATCCAGTACACACTATGTTCTCTGGAGAAGGATTACCTACACAAGATGAAATTGATAGCCTCATCCGTAAAGTAACAAAGTAAATTAAAAAATACATGTTATCGTTTGTTTAGTTTTCTTAAAATAACAAAATCTAATTCGTCATTATGTTTTTAGTGAATTAAGCGTCTCGTTGGTCGATGATGGTCTTTCTACAGTAGTTGCTCGTAATGTAAGCAAAGCTATCAGACTTTTTTGCTTAAAGTGTGAACAGGGATTACTTGTGAGTGGAGAAGCTAGTCAAGTAATTGATTCTCCTACCACTGTACAACAGACAAACGTGTCGCTTGCAAACCTACTTTATTATCTTTCTAGTCAAATAAGTCGTGTAATAGCAAATTTGTCTACTGGTTTGCCATCTGAAGGAAGTACAGTAATTTCTGTAGCTCTTAAGGAAACGGATACATTAACAAAAAATATATTAGCACCGTTATTATCTTCTATTAGCGATGCCATTGAAAGTATTATCTTAACAATGCACGATGACCCAGAATTTCGAGAGTAAATAAATATAATTTATTTTAATTTCTCATTTATATACATATGCCAGACATAAATATTGACAATATACTTATTTTTCTCGTATAGTCCGAGCAGTCCTTTAGGAAAAGAGATTAACTGCTCACTCTACATGCGTGAGTTACAAGGATTTATATTACGTTCAGTGAATACGTTTCTTGCACCATATAAGAACCAGGCTGTTGTTGCTGATTGGTAAAGAAACTACAATTACAATGTTGTATATAATAATAATAATAATAATATAATACTGATTCACTGATTGTTATTTAAGCTGTAAGACTGTTGCTTCACGGTGCATCGAACTTTTTGTAAGACACGCTTGTTTACTGAGACCTTTGACTGACTTTGGAAGAATGAAACTTATAGTCGACTTTAGCCAGGTATGTCGTTGTTAGAATGTTTCAGAAAATGTTGCGCATTTCAAAATCTTGAGAAAAAAGTATAGTAAAAACGTATAGAAAAAAGATTCAAAATTAATTTTATTTCTATCCAGATGGAAATAGCTGTTGCTCCCTTATCTAGAGGTGGACAATTAGGTTCATCAGAACAACAACAGTATAGAACTTTACGAACATTAAAAGCATTGCTACCTCTTAGTCCTGAGGAAATTGTTCAAAAAGTTTTGGAAGGAGCAGGAGAAAGTAGTATACCTCCGTCCCTCGTTCTTTTACACTTATATTCTACTGCGCCTTCAGAATTATTATCACCACATCAGGTAAGGGATGCTTTAATTAAAATAATGTAGTACTACTTATTGAAATAAATCAATAAAACTATACAAAGTGTTCCACAAGGAACGGCTTTATTACTTTAAATTTATAAGTACGAACTGTAATGCTCTTTTTTTTTTTTTAAAGAATCTCTGTTATTAAAAGAATTCTAATCTCATTGTTTTAGAGTGTAAGTTGGTCTGTAGGACGATTATCTCAATGGATGGATAAGCATCCAAACGAAAGAGATAGATTAGCGTTCTGCAGTGGACCATTGGAACGTTATCAGTTAACTGTAAGACAAGATAATCGCCCATCGTTTCACCCATTGTTTCCACTAATGAAAAAGTTGGCTAATCTGAACGAACATTAAAATTTGTATCGTTTATATTACATATAATACTGTATGTATTTTGTCAAGCATTTTACACGTTTGTAAAAAATAATATTATTAGATTCTGTATAAATAATTTATTAAGATAATGTGAAAACAATAAATTTAGAGAAAAACATTATTACGTAAATGATAGTAAATGAAATCATATTTTCATTAAATATTCACTAATCTCTGAATGCAAAATGTCCTGTACAAATATATTCCCATAATTGCTGTCATGCCTAAGGGTATTAACCAATTAAAGGTATGTTTTTTGGGGCCTATATATGTTGCTGGGATACCAATATTATTTTCCTTCTTAACCTACATTAATAAAAATGATATTTCAATGTATAATACGTGATACGGGTTTAGTATACAGTACATAATTACTTACCCTTTTAGAAAGCGCTTTTACTTGTATAAGTTCCTTTTTAAGAAGACCAAGAGTCTTTTGCGTTTTTTTAAGTTCTTGTTCATAATTAGATATTTGTTCAGTAGTTAAACATATATTCTCATCATTTGCTTTTGTAAAACTGTTCTGAATATACTGAAAACTAGAACCTATAACTGCAATCTGTCTAGCTACTGTACCTAAAGAAACTATACCATCGTATAATCTAAAAAGAAAAAAAAAAACAAATTAAACTTTCATTAATCAATTTAACGAGATTGTAATATTATGATATAAACATACGTATAAGGTAACGATTTATTAATAGCGCCGATACTGTATATACTCCACTTTTTTCTATGAAATTTGTGAAGATTCTCCATAAACTGCACTCTGTGTGCATTAATATCTATTCCTAAACTACACAAATCATTTTCAGTTAATTTTAGAAAGACTTTTATACTCATCCCTTGAAAAATATGAATATATTTATCTAAAGCCATCCCATGTACAATTGTGAACACATCAAAATCTATGGTTTGATCATTTATACTAGTTAATGATGGGAACATATCTTTCCAATCAGTTATTTTCGATATTTTATGAATACTTAGTTCTTCATTTTCTTCGACCAAGTTTAACAAAGAATTAATCTACAATAATTACGAAAACATTATTTTATACTTTATAATAATACCTAACTTACCTCATTGTATCCTTTCATGAAAGCTATATCTTTAGCAGTTAAACTGTCGTAATCAGTTAATGTAACATCAGCACCATTTTCTATTAATATTTTAACTATATCTGGTTTATTAGCTATTGTTGCATATATTAAAGCCTACAAATAACGAAAGATGTATGTTCTTATAAATCCATATTATATTAATGTGATTTACAAAACTTACTGTTTGTTTTCTACTATCACATATATTAACATTTTTTGCATATTTTATTAATTCTTGTATAAATTCTGGTTCTTGTGATGTACAAGCATACATTAGTGGCGTCTGTCTATAAAATGCATAATCTTTTAATTACTAAAGACATAGATACACAATCTAAGTATACATTGTTACCTTTGTTTATTACTGGTATTTGCATTAGCATTTGCTTTAATAAGTAATGATAAACATTTTATACGTTTTTCTGATGTACCTTTAGTACAACTACACAATGCCATTAATGGTGTGTACCCATCTAAAGTACAATATTATTTATTTAAAAATGCAAAATTTTATTGATGAAGCAACAGAAAATGGAAATAATACCTTTATGTTTATTAACATCAGCTCCATTTGTTATAAGGAATCCAATTACTTCCTCTTGAGCATATAATGCAGCATATAAAAGGGGAGTCCATCCAGTACATAAAAACTCATTTACGTTATGCACTAGATACGATTATAAATAAATTATTAGTACAACAATCTCTCATTGTAAAACTACTAATTTAAAGTAATTACATTGTAGATATTCTTGAACAATGCCTAAGTGGCCCGTCATGCATGCATTTAGCATACGATATTCAGAAAAACGTTTGTCATCAATATTTATATCGTCATATGGATCAAATGTATTCATATTCTTTGATACTGGCCATTTCTGTAAACAATAACAAGTTATTTTCATATTCTATCTATATACATACCATAACCGACTCATTCGGCTGTCTGCATACAATATTACATTTTTTTAAACTGTAGGAAGTATATTGATTCTAATAATTTTATTGTAATAATAATATTTCTCAAAAAATTTATTATAATTATTAGTATTATTATCAATTGGTAAAAAACCAGCATGTAAGTATAGGTTATATGCCGGTTTTTTACTAATCGATATATACAAATATTTTTATACTTTTCTCAGTAAAGAATAGTCTTCGTCGTCATCCAACTCATTATCAGATATTTCAGTATCCCTCGAGTCCATAGTTTTTATTTTAATAATATACTAATGAATGAAATTATTGCATGTTCCTTCGAAAAGATGAGATGAGATGAGATTTGAAAACGACTTGTATTTGTGACGCATGCGTTTTACTTTATAATCTCATGTGCCAAGTCAAGTCTTGTGTTTTTATTCTGTTGTTTACAAACTTTAAAAATTGTCGATGATCGAAGATATTACAGATATTCCAGTAATTCACAGTAAGTAGTTACAGTAATTATAATTAATGATTCGGTCATGTATATACAGTACGGCATATAATAATTAAATATATCGAAAATGTTTTATTTTCCTTAAATTTTTGTATACGAACGAATTAAAATAAACTTAAGATTGCTAACACGCAACATGCATATATAAATCAAGAATTACGTTCATAAGTAACATGAAAATATTATAGCAGTAGCAGTGAGTAGCAGTAAATAGTAAATATGTAGATAATTTTATATAATTGAACGAAAGTGAATCTGAAAATTGCATGAAATATTATAAGATTGTAAAAGTATCAATACAAGTACACAATTTATAATTACTGCAAGTCATATACTTGTTTGTATACGTATAAATGTGTAGATGAAGGGAGTATATATAGTCTTTATTATAATATCTGCTACGTTTAACCTAAAAGAGACAGTCGCCGGACACCTGTCTGAAGGTTCGGTCGCATCCTGAATTTTTTTCACGCTTTATATGCTGTCAAAATTACGGTTTCATGTATATTTGAAAGTATAAGTAACATTAACAGTAAGTAATACGTTTAAGATACAAGGTGTATCGATATAATGTTCATACTTGAAATCGTACACGCATTTATTTAAATATATAAAATTGCAATATTACGTAATCTTGTTAATGATAAGTATCACTAATTTCACCTTTCGCAAGCATTAAAAATAGTACAACAAAATATAAGTGACAGAAATGGTAGCAATATACAAATGTACAGGGCTGTACGCATTGTTCGGCGGTCTCGAGTTATCCAGAAAATGGACGAACAATTCCGAGTAATATTTAAATCGAATTTATTCGAGTATTAAACGCATACGAGATTTGTTAAAATTTCGGTTATAGCTACGACCAAAAAAAAATATATATATCTTTATAATTTATTTGCATTTCAATAGATGCGTTCCGTACTCGTCGTATTCGACTTTGATCATACGATTTCCAATGACAATACCGACGTCGTGGCTCGAAAGCTGTTGCCCCAGGAAAAATTAACAGACAGCGTGAAGGAATTGTGTCGTCCTTATGGTTGGATCGCATACATGGCGAAGATATTCGAATTGCTGCACGCCAATTCCATCGACATAAAACAAATCGAACGCGCTATTGTCAACATATCACCTGTGCCGGGTATCGAAACGCTTTTGAAAGAATTACACTCCAACGATTGTGAAATTATTATTATCAGCGATTCGAATACATTATTTATCGACTATTGGTTAAAAAGCAAACATTTAGATCACGTTATCACCAAAGTATTTACAAATCCCGCGAGACTCGATGAGAAAGGCATGATACAGATAGATATGTACCACGTTCAAGACTCTTGCAAATTAAGCACCGTTAATTTGTGCAAGGGACAAATCCTAGAAACTTACATTAAACAAAGACGCGACGAGGGAGTAAATTTCGATCGAGTTGTATACGTTGGAGACGGAAAAAACGATTTATGCCCAATTTTACGTCTTTCGGAACGTGATTTAGCGTTTCCGCGGAAAGATTATATGCTTATCAAGATCTTAAATGATACCGAAAATCACGAGATTCTGAAAGTGAAAGCCCGCGTCTTTCCTTGGAGCGACGGCATTCAAATCTTAAAAAAGTTAGAAGAAGAAATTGGTTTGTCTCAGTCTTCTTTATAATTTTGAAATATGATAGAAATAAAGATGAATCATAATTACTAACAAGAAATAATTGTAAGTGATATATTATCAAATTTAATTATTTTTAAGTTATCTAAACGTATAATTCTTCTTTCCATATTTTCTTTAATTAATAGAAATTTTAAAGCATGATAATAGATGTAAAAGGATGTTTAGCAAACAATTAAATATGATTTGATTTCAACTGTAATTTAACAGATGATTTTGTATAAATATACATACACATATATGTACAGAGACGAATCTACTGTGAAACTAAGAAACTTTCAGCCCTTCCCCCCTCTCAAGAAACCCCTTTTTGTTAATTTTTTTAATTTATTCACTATTCAAATACAAAGAGAAAACACGGTCGAGAATTTAGTCCACTGAGACCATTGTACTCGTAATAATGGTTTAATCCACCTGCTAATTTATTTGTATAATTTTTACAAAACAAAAATGAGAGAATTAATTGTAAAGCTTAATTTATAAGTAAGCACAGAGCGAAAGTCATGCCTACAATTTCAAAATTTCCGTATAATTTTTACTGTTTTATTACTAAATTGTAAATTTCGATACATTTGCAATATAGCGCACATTTTAAAGGTTAGGTTAAACTTATGACGTGCGCGATACGTGCAATGTATGGTGCGCGTCTCTAACGTTAATTATTGTCTTATTATTGCTCGCGGGCGTCGATAAAAATTGTTCTTTTATCGTGGACACGTTTTATTAAAAAACTCGAAAATATGAATTAACAGTGAAACTGTGATTCCGTGCTGAAATTTGTATTCATGGACGAAAAGTAACAGTACATTATCTGTTAATTTGTGCGTCAGCTTTGGTAAGCAAATTTGGCCTCTTATATACGATGTCTAGTGATTACAACTACCGTTACAGAATAACAAGAAAGTGCAATATCATAAAACGAAAAGTATTTATTCGTCGTTGATACAATGTCGTTTTAATCAGAATAATTCGTTAAAACAAATATCAATTGCATAATAACGGTAATACTTCTGGTAGCTTTATACTTAGATAATGGTAATGGTCTACTGTAACGCCATTTATAAGCAAAATAACGAATATATGTTGAATGGAATTTTTAATATGAAGTCACCATGCAAATAAATATAAAGCTTAATCATGATTCAGTTAATAGGATGAATACTGTTTGTTTTTGTAGTACTTGTATCAATTTCTTGAAGTTTTATCATTTTGAGATTAAAGATGTTCCGTAAAATACCATATGCAATGGCACATAAATATGTAATACTTAAGAGCCATTCGGGTATAAATAAGAGCGTGAATACTTTGAATAAAACTTCTAAAAATACTGGTGTCCATAATAATATTCCACATAATAAAGACATTTTAATAGTATCCAAAAGTTTTAAAATGTTTTCCATTTGTTTTATCATTTTTAAGTGCATTTTGTTCCCATCGTGTTCCATGATTTTATATCGATCATTTCTACTGTTTTTTGAGTCATTGTTATATGTTTCTATTTGCTCTATAACATCAGAATCTTTGTCAGAGTCTTCAAAACTTTCTTTCAATTGCATAGGATCTTGTTTTAATTCAGGAACTTCTCTGTAATCTATAAAGCTATTGATACTTGTACTATTAATCTTGCTAGCAAAATTGCCATTGAAATTAGTTGACAGCATTTCACTTTTTGCTTTTAATCTATCTGAGACAATACGACAATTTAACTTGCCATGTTGTTGTAAGATCGAAGAGAACAAAATTGGCAAGAAGTATATTACAAATATAAGTACAAGCAAATGTAATTTTAAAAATTGAATTGATATCAAGCATTTATGCATTGTGTATATTAAAGTTATCTGTGATATATTATCATTCTGATAAATAGTGATTTCAAAAACAGATAGCACATTTTGCTTGTTTACAGTAGAATTATATTGAAAATCTTGTTCGAATTTTTTGTACCTTGACTGTTTTCTATTATGTTGGTGACTATTATTATTATAACGATTTTTTAATTTATGTTGTGTAGTAATATTATAAATACGTTTAAGTATTTCTTCATATATTTGATCATTAGATATTACCAATGCATTATGCAGTGTAGTTACTTCTATGAGTTCATCTGCAATGGTTTGAGCTTTTGTAGTCTGAATACTATCTGTATTATTTTTGTCAAATTGTAATCTTTCAGTGATATTTGTAATAACTTCGTTTTCTACAGTCTTTTCTGTTACCAGAATGTTTTCCGAAGAATTTTTTATTAAGTAATTAAATAATAATAATTCTTTATCATATTCATTTGTAGCATTTGTTAGTTGTACATGGTTCAGTAAATATGTATTGTTCTCAGGATTTGACAAATTATAAGGATTCTCATATTCTGTCATCAATATATCTTCTGTTCCATTTGTTTTCATGTCTAAAATACTATTATTATCCTTTACAATTTTGGTATCTGTATTAAATTGCATGTATTTCATAATGTCAAACGAGTCAGAGGTATTATAAAGATTCGTATGGTTAATAACGTTTGACTTATTATATGTATCATTCAATATAGAATTAATGATACTTTGTACTTTAGATATTATTTCATTTGCTTGTGTATTATTTGAATTAGGTGTTTTCACTAATTCTTCATTATCAATATAATCCTTGTATAGGGGCACTGTATGGATTTCAGGATACTTTTGTGTAATATCCAGGTGCTTGATATTGCTATAACAATCATTAAAGAAAAAGTTATTTTCAATGATGCACTTTGTGTTTTCTTTATTCTTCATGTAACTTTTGTCTTCATACTCGATTAAATAGAGAATTCCGGTAACAAAAATGGGTATAATCCATTGGATTATTACAAATATGCTAGTAATCTTCTTGTTATCCATCTTCATTTCATTACATTTGAAAATTTGTAAGAGTTTCCTCGTATTCTGTTCAGTTGTTGAAACATTTGCATGTTTTGTTAACTGAAACTTTGAATCAAATTGTATATCTTCATATTCAATTCTTTCGCATGTTTCTAAATTTTGTGCTCCAGATTTATTTTCACTGTTGTCATTTTCACATGTTTTTTCTGTAACACACTCTTGAAGTTGAAGAAATTTGTAACATTGATTTTTCAAACTAAATACATTCAAATTACATTGGACAGAGAATATCAACAAAGACACAAATGAATTTGTGAATGGAATGAATAACATTCCATACTTCATTATTATACTTGTAATATTACATTCAGGTGTTACACTAGAACCATTTTGATTTATAATACTATTAAAATTATCATAAATTTTATCGTATTTGTCTTTCTGGTTTTTTCCATTATCATCTTGATACCACACACTATTATTTAAGGAAAAGATATTCCATTTATTATGATCTACATAAAAACTCTTGTCCATGGAATTTATAAGTAGTATACTTGATGTAAGCATAGAGAATAACACATCAGATGTTGACAAAATATATAATGGAGTACTTATCCTCTGTTTAAATTGCTTTCTTAACAAAGTCACAATTGTAATAAAACTAGACAGTAATAATGTGTATGCTCCTATATTAAGAACTATGAAGTACATTATACAATACAACAGTCAACTCAACTCGAAACTTAAAATTTTATATGTTTCTACTTGTACTATATATTTTAATTATTAGATTCACGAGTTAGTTTTAACTTCACGCAGTTTAAAAAGGTACTGTTTAAATGGTCTCTTGCATTTAGGTATTATACCTTGATAAATTGTTAAATATGGGGGTATCCAAATAACTGTTCCACATATATTAGATATGAAAATAGTCCTGTATGTGGGTACATTGATTATTTGTACACCAACAAATGCTGGTACTAACTATATTCAAAGAATAAAATACTCACGTGTATGAAATATTTGTATTTGTAAAATAAGTTTTAACAATTATCAGTTAAAATATTGTTAAAATAGTGTACATATTAAAAAGCCTTTACAAGAATTCAGAAATTTTAATAACATATATTAATTTAATATATTTATTTTGTATATGTTTCAGTGTTTGTTCACTACAATGTCTGTACGTAGAAGAACCGATCCATATTTGGCACAACGAATATGGGATGCCATAAAAATAACTATACATCAGAGAAGTTTACCTAGTAATGAACGTATGGTACGATACTTAGCTCGGGTATATGGAACTACAGAACAAGAAGCACAAGAAGTATTAAACAAAGCAGTTGATGATGGACTTGTTCATTTAAAGAAAGTACCAACAAAGAATGGTATAGAACAAGAAAGTTATAGGCTACCAATGGATATCACATTCAGTGATGATCATGACTGGTATTGTTGTAAATGTCAGAAAGCAGGGGCAGTAGAATGCTGTCAACAGTGTTATAGGGTTTATCACTCTGAATGCCATGTGCCTAGTAATGTTAAATTAAAGATATGTAATTTCTGTGAAGTAAGTATATAATATTAGTATTAATCCCCTAATGTTTATATATCAATAAAGTAGTAATAATTGTTACAGAGTATAAATAACGATATATACCCGGACAAACTTGATCTCAACCATATTCTGAGCTTCACTTGTGGACATTTGAAAGCAAAATTGCCAACAGAAATTACAAATCGTACTATTGTTTTTAATGATCCCGTTATGCCAACTAATAAATATTCAGGCCCCACCTGGATCAGTGAAGGTGAAGATGCATGGCGACCGGGTGTTCTTATAAAACACCATATGGATTTGGCAATAATGGATTCAAAAATTAAAAAAAATGCGTACAATAATCTTGCTGAATTTGAGGCTGATGCACACAATATCTTACACAATATTATCGTATACCACGGGGGTATGTAATCATAAGATAGAACTTTTTATTTATGACTAATTATGAGGTCATAGTTTTAAATTGTATATTCGATATTTGTCGATGTTTATAGAACAATCTTCAATGCATTTACGAAAAAGTAAAAGAGATATCAATTTTGTCTGATAATGATAATACCAACAAATATCGAATTTATAATTTATATGAAGTAACCAAAGGACATAATAATGTGGAATCTCTATTGAGTAATAGTTTTAATCTGTACATGTAGCTCATAGTGTAATTGGAGAAATGGGACTCACGATGTACCAAGATTGCTGCTATGACCTCCAGGAAATACGACGTTGTGCTGATTGTTATAGAATATCAAACGAAAAATCTGAGAAAATGTGGTTTTGTTTACCCTGTAATCCACCTCACCAGTTAGTTTACGCAAAGCAAAAGGGATACCCATATTGGCCAGCTAAAGTAATGCAAGTTAATGACAACGTTTATGATGTCCGGTTTTTTGGAGGTCATCACATGCGTGCCAACATCGAAAAAGTGTTCATTCGTCCGATTACTGCAAGTCTACAAAGTTTACAGGTAAACTAAGATAAGATAAGGTAAAATAAGTCACAAAATTGGCGGATGTTCCACGCGAAATTGTCACGCGAACATTCTGGAATTCTCGGTTTAGGTTACACGCCATTTACCGTGTATTATATCACTGACACAATCGAAGAGAACTGTTGAGAGAAAGCAATTTAGAAATTGTTGTTGCACTTAGGTATATTATTATCTTAACAACGAATTCTTGCATAGCCTTCGGAAAAAGGAGTGTGGAAAGAAATGAAGGTATGCACATACAGTGGCCTAAAGTGTACAACTAATTTCTCACCACTGTGTTTCATTGTGCAATCGGAAGGAAAATAAATTTTTCTTAAAGCGTGCACAATTTACATTTCATAGATAAAAAGGTCCACTGCTTGGAACAGAGCATTTGAAGAACTGAAGCATCATCAGAATTTGCTGCAAAAGTCGGGCAAGATTATTGAAGATTTGGACGTTGGCGACGATAACGAGGGTCCAAAACCAACAAAAATCCGGAATATTTCATCAGGTTCGAAAAGTACGGCGAACAATTCTAATCCTGCGATACAACTTATTAAGGACTTAAGGGTTAAAGTTGAACGTCTCAGCTCAGACGGTCACATTGATCTGCCGACTACAGAGGAGAAAGAAAATGAAGACAAATCATCGATAAGTAAAGATGGAAGTGAAGAAAGACAAGTGCCCTGTTTACCGGTAGCAGAAGATGAACCTGCAAGAGAAATATCTAGTACTTGTCCTCAAGGCTTAAAAAAAGAAGGTTCACAAGAGGATATGGTTACATCTAGTTCTCAAGAACCAAGATCGAAATGTGTCCTCGTTCAAACAGAACAGATACAAACAGAAGCGGTACCTGCAAAGGTAAAAAATATTTGAATTATTAATTCATTTTTTCGTGTATATTATGTATCCATTTACAAAACATCACGGATTTACAACACTGTATTTTATAGATAAAAAGGGAACGCAGAACGTCTGAACAACCTACTACGACAGCACTAGAAAAACTACGTCGCGAATTAGAACTTGAGAAATGTAAAGAATTAGAAAAGTTACAAGCTGAGCATGCTAAAGAATTAAGACAACTGACAGATAGACATCAACAGGTTATATCAGAAATAAAGAAGAAACAATGGGTAATAATTCCTTAATGCTTTTCTTGTATATGTATAATTTACAAATCATTTTTTTTATATATATATACAATACTACATGTATCAAAATTTAATGAATGTTATACTTTCAGTGTTATAACTGTGAAGCTGAAGCAATATACCATTGTTGTTGGAATACTGCATACTGTAGTACTGATTGCCAACAAGTTCACTGGCAGCGTGAACATAAAAGAGTCTGCCGACGTAAGCGCTAATTAATAATGGATGCAATAAAGATTCTCATCAAATAATGAGTCTATGGAAGAAATTAAATCAATCGCTGTGTTTGTAAAAAGAAAATACATACTTTGTAGAAGCACATTAATATATTCTTGACACCAATTTGACATGCCTTTGTAAATTTTCTCCTTAAATGATAATATTTGTAATATGTATACAAACAAATGTTCAAAGAGTGTCCTTAATTTTCCTATGAAAACTTAATTATTATTAATAAAAAGAGTCCTACTTTATTTGTGACATTCAAGCTACAGCAAAAATAAAACCGGAAGAATACTGGAGAATAAAAAACAATAATTATAAGTGTACATTTTTTTTAGAGTTACTATACATTTGTGACTAACAAATGTTTTGCTTTAGAGATCGTTTTTAGACGAGACATTCAATAGTTGGCAACTTTGTCTAAGACCAATTTTGTTTCGTGTCCTTATTATTTTTAGTTTACTGTAAGTTCTTAAAATGGGTATATATGTCCCAAAAACTAATATGTTCCAACTATTTTGTCACGTTCACAAAGATCAGTTATACGAGAGAAAAATTTCTAATAATCAAAAACATTTTACTGTGATATGGTTTTATTTAGCATGATGTTTGTATTTTTTAATACATCGTTTCAATATACTTATATGGTGTATGGATGTATACATATTAACACATATAAGTTTATTAACTTAATCTTCATACATAATTTATATGAAGTATGGCATTAAAATAAATTAGAAACATATTTTATATACAATATATAATAACAACTGTATGACATAATTAGAGATAAATACTTAATTAATCTGCAATTCGTAAGACATACATCGTAAATGTGAAATTATATATACACATTCACTTATGTTTTATTTTTGATTTGTAACAGTAAATTCAACTGAAACATTTTCTTACCATATTTTCAGTCTTAAACACTCACATTTGAAAGATTAACAATAAAATGAGATAAAATATCTATAGTATTAAAACATTAGGAAATACATTTTTTGCGCAAAACTGTATAGAAAATACAAATTTAAAAATACCATGTATTCCTACACTTTTTAATAAAAAATTTGGTCATCAATATGTAAAATAATATTTATAAATGACATTTTAAGTTACTTAAAGCAATATGTTTATTTAACAATTCTCATTTTATAGTTATGTCTTTTCTTTACACAGAATACAAATTTTCAATAAAAGGTCAATTTCATAAAAAGCTAAAAGCTATTATTATGTCAATATATAAATCTAAATATTTTGAGTAGTTCTAACTTCATCACCTACTACTGCTATAGCCATTTGACCTTTTTCTGTATTTTCAGTTACTTGAACATAACTTGCTGTATCAATGTTACTGGATTTTAATTTTTCCAATAATTGTAATTCTTGAGGTTCTAGTTTCTCTCCAAGCTGCCTTAATGCATTTAATACCTCGCCACGTTGACGATTGCTAGACTCTTTGCTCAGTTTTCCAAGTTTCATATCACAATCAATTTGAGTTAAACGTTCTCTAAGTTCCTTTGTTTCTCGTTTGCCAAACATTCTTATAACTGCAGGTGTTTTGAAAGCTTCACTGATTGCTGCTTGTATTGCCTATTGATTCAAAGATAAAACTAAATAATAACTAATATGATTTTGAACATATTATTTATGTAAATATGTATAACTTTACAGTATTTTTTATTCTTAATCCATAAATTCTTTTCTGAACTTGGCATAGATGCTTGTAACATACCAACTGTATTGTACCCAATTCATCGATTAATGTTGTATCTCCAGATATCATTCTTTGCAAACTTTCATTAAACTCCTGCAAATCTTCTTTTGTAAGTTGCATAGCTTCATCATAAGAAGCTGCATCTAATAAATTTCTATTAAAAACAAAATTTCATAAATTTGCATATAGGTGTTGTCAAATTTTTAAATATTAATGCTGATAAATCTCAAAAAGAAAATAATTTCTCTGTTATACCGGCTTTCTTCTATGTCTTCCAATTGTTGCACCAGTCTTTCCAGCTGCGTCTCTAAATTCTTTCTCAACTTTTCAGTTTCTAGTTTACCGCGAGAACTCATTTTCAACAAGTCATACAGTAAGAAATATTTTCAACGATAGAATGAAGTGAGGTTATAATCGAAATAAATTCAATACACTAATTAAAGATATATTCAACAGGTACTTTCGTAGAAAATATTTCTGCCCCGTTCCATATGTTTCATTGCATTTCTTTCTCTTACTTATATCAATTGTAAACTTTACTACGTTTCTTATTATAAGCCTTTTGATTGTGTTTTTGCAATCAAGAATTTTGTTAATTATAAATATTTATAAATAAGAATTTTGAGATACAAAAGTATAATTATATTTTAAAATTGTATCATGCTAACATAAGTTATTTTATAACATATGCAAAGGTACAATAGATAAAGATAAGATATGACTTTGTACAGTGACTACGGTATTCTAAGATTATACATGGATGCATATATATATGTACATATATGTATATGATTATTATTTTAGATTTTACATTCAGCCTGTAACAAACAAATGTGTATGGATAATATTTTAATGTTTAATGTCCTCTGTTACAGTAATGTAATCACATCGTGTCTAAATTAATTACAGCATTGAACATTTGGTAACTATATATATTCTTATATATTTTATAGTTGGATAATGTGTTATCTACTAATACAAAATATAGTACACTTTTGAATTACAAGTACAACAAATATGATTATTATTTACAAGTAATAATCGTGAGATACGGTAGTAAACGGAAACATTTAATATTAAAGAATGTTTATTCATTTTTCATAGAGTCATGGACATTACAACGATATGTTACTGTATAAGAATTCAGATAATACAAAGAAAAACGAATAAAAGAATCATTTGGTGAACTATTTTGAACTCTATGTTCACTACATAGTTCGTGCCAAATGCGTGATTGGTTGCTGTACAATTTTGTTTCATCGCATTACCACAAATCCGATCATGTCGTTTCAAAAAAAAATAGTACACACTATTCGTACGAGTTAAATAACGTACATGTAACAATATCAGTTTACAATTAAAGAGTTTCCGAAATATTGTTTATCAATGAATTTTTTCATTCGTTTGTGATTTTCTTGTTGTAAAACGTACAACAGATTTAATATTTTTGTATCATCGTTAAGTGAACGTTAGACACGAGGAAATGGGAAGAAAGGCGTGCTGTGGTTCTGCACAATGTATGGTGCGCGTCGCTTCTTTTTTCTTACACGAAAACAAGTCATCTACTGTTTGTCAGACAATTTACGCGACATTTTAGCCAGGTAGAGTGACGCACGATTATCGGCGATAATAATTTATTAGCACGACGAAAGGAGTACGCGACTGTGCGCAGTTGAATACTGCAACCGCGCACGAATCTTGGAAAAGAAATTGATAAGAACGTAAACACTTTCGGTCGAACGAACCTTAACGGACAAAGACGACGCGCAAAGCAATTTTAGGCAGAAATTACCAACGGGTACAAAGGGAAATAGTGTTATTTTAAGAAAAGCGGCGCAGAACCACCGAACACGAAGTGTCCGTGCATGAATCGGCCGTTGCTAAAGTGCGCGCGCGTGTAAACGTGCCATCAGTTTCGTACGGGTGACCGAACGCTAACCATCATTTTCTATACCGTCGGATTTCTCAAACCAAGTTTTGCTCGAACAAGAAGAAGTCTTTGCGACAACAAAATTACGGGTTAACTACGCACGTGAGAAAAGAACGTACCTATGAGGACCCCAGAGAGCCACATAAGGCAACAAGCTTTAAAGATAGTGGAGAGTTTAAAGAAAGGAGGCCTACGCCTGCGATGAGCATGCCGACGAAAGGGAAGCATCACCACCTGCCCCATCAACATCATCATTATCATTCGCAACAGCAACAGTCGCATCATAACCCGTCGCAGCATCAACCACAGGTTCCGGTGAACGTTAATCAAAGTGTCCATTCGCCCCAAGCTTACAGCACCGTGGTTACGGCCAATTCACAGCGTTTTGTGCCCAATGCTGGTACGTATAAATCCCTCCTTTAGTCTTTCACTTATTCCACATTCGTTACGTTTCGAGCACACGTTTTCGTTATTCGTTCTCCGCGGACATGTATATATTTCGTTTTCTCTATATATGCGTAGATATTTCGATCCAGTTAAAATTAACTGCATACTTGAGCCCGATACAGGTTATGTTTTGAGGTTAGGTCGACCATGCGGTCCATGTGGATATTCATTAGGCGGATTCCTGCAAAAATGTCTACGATGGCGCATTTACCTTTCACGAAAACGATTGTTCGTTCGTTGATTACTTACTTTAATTGCAACATATATATATATATATATATATTTTTTTTGTATATTGAACAGTGGTAGAAACATTGAAAATGATTGATTGAAAAAGGAAAATGTTTATGCGCATGCCATTCGGTGATTTTTATATAATTTTCTCAATTATTATATTTTTAAAATATCATGATATTTGATTAATTTTTCACTTTTCTCGATTCTTAGAAAATCGTTTAAAGTGTTTTTAACTAATTATTTTATTAGAATAGTATTGTTTATGGGTTGGTTCTAAAATTTACAGTGCTAAATTAATATTTATTCGTTTTGTTGGCGTTATATTTTTCATATCAAATAATTTTTTGTCCTCTTCGTACTCGTGCATTCACTTTAATATGTAAATTTTGCTTTATGTTAATACATATCGATAAAATCGACCGCTAAACGCATACAAGAAAACTAACTTAATGGAATTATGGAAGCCCTGGAAGGGACATTGTAATTATGCGAGTTCTACTACTGTCCGATATATTGAATTTATCTGTATCCCAATTTTTCTTGCCTCGCGTTTATGTATGGTTAATAACTCACAAAATTATTTTATTTTCATGAAATAATTTATTAATTAGTGAAGTATCAGTGTTATACACTTTTCAAATTTAGGTGAATTCTTCGCGATGTTATTTTTATAAATACTATCTGAAAGTTGGAAAGTTAACACAGGCAGTCCACAGTCATGTTATATTAACCGATAGAAATTACTTTTCCTTTCTACGTTGTATTTTACTCGATGCCAGTAGTTGCAAAGTACAAGTCGATCTTGGAACGACCTCATTGAAGACACTTGACATTGTTATTAAATTACATCAATGTAATCGGTCCACTTCCTGTGTCGGTCGTATCTTCCTCGGATCTGTACACGCTAACTTGCTTTC